TTCACCTTTTATAACTCGAGCATCTTTTATATGGTTTTTGTAACCAGCAATAAGAAACGATTTATACGGAAATGATGATGTTGCTCTGATTTCTTCTTCTTCATTAATATGTATGTCGCTATTATAGGACGGAGTTTTATCATAGAGTTGACCGAGAATATATTTTGAATGATACGTTGGCTTGTCGTTTTTTTCCATAAAATGTGGATACTGTGGAGGACGAAGCTCTTTTGTAAGATGTGGTGCATTGATTCCTTTTTTGGCAAAATCTACAGCAACGCTATATACAAAAAAATAGAAACATGGCTTGAACTTTTCTAACAAAGATTACTATATTCATAACATCAGAATTGCGATCAAAGATCAAATCCATCAGTAGAACGACAGCGTAGGTGATGGTAGAAATAGGTACAAATTTTAGCTGTTTCGGATACAGCTCATTAGGCAGTAAAACATCATTAGACAACTCATATATGTTTTTTTTTCTTTTGAATTATCCTAGCTTCAAATAAATCGAATTTAGTTAGGGATAGCACATATTTTCAACTTTCAACATGGATAAAGATTCATTAATACATGGATTATATTTGATTCATAGAAATATCGTTAAATAAGGGTGAACATTATTGGGCAAATTATTTTAGTTCTGAAAAATAATTTTATATAATAACTATAGATATCAGTACAATAATTATAGATGACTTTCAATAACGAACACATGAATGAGCGTGTTTAATATCTATAATGTGAAGTTTTACATTTGCTATTTGATGAACATTGTATTCGAAATATTGTGAAGTTGATAAGTTTGAAAATTCTGATTTTCCGAAAATTTCGATTTAGTGACTAATCGCATGCAAACATAATCTTACTGATGAACTACTAGAGTTTGAAAAATAAAAATACTTTAATGCCATACATATAAATGTTTCTAGAGTTAGTTTTTAATTATTTTTCAAGTGTATAGTGAGTTGTTTCTGACAATCTGAAAACTTAGCTCTGAATAATTTTATTGAGAGAAAGCTCCTATCCATAATGGCGTACCAAGAACATCAAGCTTTTTATTTTAAATTTTTTCATGTCAAAATACTGTAGACCTTAATAGAATCACTGAATAGTCGGTAGTATGTAATGCAGCTAGTTCTTTTGGATGGAAAGGCTCAACCGAAAACTTATGCGATTCTTTTTATTAAGTATGCTCTGATTTCTAGGAGTTCGAATATACGTATTAGTCGTGAAATGATGGTATGGCAATATTAAAATTGTCTTATAAGTGAATGAAAATTTCTCAGTAAATTCTAAATGAAATGCTTTTTTTTGAGAGTCCCTAAGAAGGACTGTAAAATCACGCTAATGCTCAACAAAGAGTTTTGACCAGTGGATTTTAAGAGTGCACCGCTATATTTTCGAATTTATTGAAACATTTTCTATTGATATATTTTTCTTATGATCATAATCTAGTGTGAGATTGTATTTATTGAAATTAGAAATTGATATTCTAATTTCATAAAAAAAACCAATAAACTCAAATATTCGTGTATTGCCTTCCAAAACGAAACAACACTTCTTCAATAATATAAGACTTTTTAAATCCAAATCTAACGGAAAAAATGATAATATATTTTTGTAGTGATAACGGAAATATATACAACTTCCTCACCTTATTCGTAAACAAGCAAAACATCAAAGATTATTTGTGCTTTGACTTAACTATAATATCATGAACATAGTGATCATAGATTCAGCTTAACGTACCTATGCATTTTAGCTAATTGAAGGCATTTTTTGTTTCGGACACCGTCTTCTAATTGATCTGAAAGAGCTAAATGACTATTAGCAATGAGACCGAGACTAGAACAAATACCGTTGATTAATGTAAGATGAAAATTCTTTAGCTTACTTGTCAACTGCAATATATTCACCAAAAAAATTACAAACATCTTCAATCGTATGTTGGACATCATTTATTGTTTGCATTTTATTAGCTTCGTAATCTTGATCTTGATAATCAAATGGCTCTTCGTTTTCTTTGAATATTAAATCTGGATGACGGCTTATCCAGAATGTATCACCATCAAGGTCACCGCCAGACANTGAAAGAGACTAAATAAGTTGATCATTCTTACTACCTACCCGTTTCACAAAAATAAAGAATATTTTTTGAACTATTTCTTTTGTGCAAAACTTCTACTATCTGATATATTTCGAATAAATGACGTAAAAAAAGATTCAGTTCATGCATGATTTCCGAAGATGGTGGTTGATTATCTTGCAAAGTCAAAGCTTTCGCAAAAGATTCGATTTTCCAAAAAAATTCATGTTTTATACTGGTTTGATTGATGACTCAAGAACGGATCTAAAACTTTTGGACCGCATGTTATATAGACAAGAAAAAGAACGAAGAGAGAAAATAAGATATATGAGGTCATAATCTTATCATTCCTTTGCNAAGTTTGGTGCAATTTTCGTTTAAGTTTGACAATTGGAGCTCGAAGTAATTAAGAAATACAAAATTTTCAAGTTGCAAAAACGTTGCAAGAACCTTTTTAGAGGTATTTAGTTGTTGATTTTTCCTCCTTCTCAGATTCTTTCTGTGAAAATATGTCTGGTACAAAATTTGTAGCTCAGACTTGGCTCTTTCCAACCAAAAAGAGTTTGACTGATTCAGAAGTTAGCAAGACGGTCTAAGAGAGCTTGACATTTGTGCCAAGACTTTTGCACCGCATGTTATATAATTGTCAGTCAGTCAAGTGTTTCAAATATTTCGTCTATACGATAACTAAAATATATCGGCAGATATAAATTTTTTTTTCAGAAATGCCCAAAATAGGTTCATGTACTGATTATAACGTGTGATGTTGAAATTAAGGAACTATATGAATGTCATTGTTGTTTACGTCTTGTTTGTTTATATCATTTGAATGAACATGTTCAAATAGAAAAAAACAATAAACGACCATTGGATAGTTTCAATGCATTAAATACAATTGTAAATGCATTAAAACAAATTGTTGAACAAAAATTATTAATGATTGAACGCGAACAAAATTTGATTGTAGAAGTAAAAAAAGTTCTTGATTTACCCAGTAATTCAATTGATACAATACAAAATATTTTCGAAAAAATTAAGCAAACAATAAAACCAAATCGATCAGGTAAAAACTGAATCAAATAATTGGCTTTCTTTGTATATCTTTCTTTTTTTGTTAAAGAAGAAGTCATGGTGAAAGTCGAACAATCATTATCACCAACTAGAAATTGCTCTTGTGTTTGTAAATGTAATACGGAAAATATGAATTCAAATGGTAAGATAAAATTTTTTTGTTTTCACTGTATTTATTCTTGTTTGTTTCGATTGAGTCATAAATATCGGGGGTTTACAAGAAAGTTAGACGAACTTCGTAATTATCACTTTGAACTCATATTGACACCAGAAAAAGTAGCTGTAATTAATGAGACAATTTTATATTGTTGGCCTAATATGGGTTCAAATCATGGAGATCAGTTTATGTAGTTTCCTCGCAGGATAAAAAAGATTTCAAAATGTAATTTTTTGTGTTTAGATGTAGCATACCAATCGGGAATCTCGAAAGGTAAGTTGAAACTTCTTTAACTTCAAAAATAAGAACAAACATGATTGATTTAAGATGATGAATATTCAACGGATATCAGTTATGATTTTATTGATCTTGTTTCATCTGAGTAAGTTTCTTCATTTTTCTTTTTAGAAAAAAAGATTTGAAACCGATCGCGTGTTTTTTTTCTTTTAGTGAAACAGAAGAATCTATTCAGGTAAAAATAATTCTATTCATGAAAGTATTGCTATAGTCAGTTTGCGAATTGAAATTATTCTGAATAGCATCACTATATAAATACGAAATCCAGTTCCGAAAAGATTCTGTTGTCATTTAACAGATTTTTGTATTAGCAGAGAAAAATGAGATGTTTCTGAAAATTGGATTAGGTGTCTTTGATTCTATTTTGCAGTTTTGTACTCGAGTTAATAGTGTATATATTCTATCTACGATGACTTGTCGATGCCTTTTGACATTGAAAAAGATCGAATTCGGTAGTAAATTTTAAAAAAAAGTTGTACATTAAAAAAAAGAATTCTGAATGAATAAGGTTTTACGACAATAGTTTTCTGTTTTTCTTCGAATTTGTGAAATATTTGTATTTGACATTTAAATATAAATATTTTCATTAATAAATTTCGTTTCATGTCAAAAATTCTATTTTTAATATAAAATACTCAATTTTCAGCCAAATATTTTACATAGAATACTTATGATAAACTTAGTTCGTTGTCCTTTTTATACGTCTAAATTAGTTTTATTTTTTTATGAAATGAATTTTTCATAATGTTTTCAGGATCAACATGTCAATGAAGAAGAAGGAAAGAAACGTAAACGAAAATCAGTCAGAGGAATTGTTAATAAATGTTCATTAACGTTTAATGGAGCATATGGCTTTACTAAAGCAAATCATTCTATTGAATTTTGTGAACATGGAACAACTCATCGAATGGAATTATATCCCCATTTCATTTACAAACATCAATTAAACAAAAGTATATGCTCAACGTTTGGTACGAGCTGCTGCTGATAATCAAGATTCTAGAATAACAAAATTATGTGACGGAAATGAAAATGTACTTAATCCCTGTAGTAAAGTCCCATGTCCTTTTTCTTCTGGACGAATTAATTTATCAGAATACACTCGAGAAAATGTTGTAAATGTACCAGGTCAACGTCGATTAGTTCCACTTAATATATTCAAAGGACATTTACAATTTCATCATAAGATTTCTAATTCGTTGGCACAAAAATCAGTTGATGATTTCTAAAAAAATCGAACAAGAAAAACGTTATTGTTTTAACTCCACCAATTCCATCAACATGATCACAATAACAGAAAATCTTAAAATTGTTTTCATTGATGTTTGTCTTGTTTTTTCTTTCGTGCTAATGAAAGTAAAGAATTCAATAATTTGAAACATATATTTAAATTATTCTTTCTTATTTGTGCTCGATTAGATTTTTCCGGTTCAAGCTAATGAGTCGATAAAAAAAAACAACTAAAGAGAAAACATATGCAATATTGTTTCGAATTCGTTCATCTTCATGCTATGACTACGGATAGGTCTCAGAAAGAACATATTATATGGCCCCGTGATAAACAAACATGACTGTTGTAATGAAATTGTTCCTAAGACTAACAAAGAAAGCGATCAGATCTTTTTCCATGGAGTGGATTTCCAAGCTGACTCGCTTGCTGCGTCTTTTTATTGTAAACCACTAGTACTTTTAAATATTGAAAATTTCAAGAAAGACATGGGTGAATTGCTCTCGTATTGTACTGTTGAGTGAGTTGTGAACAGTAAAACATTCAATGAATTTCGATAGTTTTTTTTCAACTCTTCATTGTCTAGACCATCTACTAAATCACATTTCTTTATCATAACTGTCCTTGGACAAATTTAATTTTTTGGAGCCATCTTTTAGTCACGACTTTCCTCTTGGTGACTATTACAGCGTTGTTTTCAACATTTGCATGAAATATTGCAAAAAAAACTGCTTAAACACACTAACAAGCTATTTTATGTCCCGACAGGTTGAATTGAAGTTATTGCATTTGAGACGTTAAAGGTCAGAAATTTTTTCTTGACAAGGGTATGGGTGGTTGTGGATTTGAATGCGGATTGGTGCATAATTCAAGATAGTTTGATCTCCACACCCATCCACACGCCCACACCCACACCCTCACACCCCAGCCATACTCACACTCTTTCAGGTGATTAGCAACAATAGCTGCATCATATTTGACACATTTCTATCCCACAAGGATTGCACGGATTTTCGCTTTTCTGAGAATTTCTGATTCTTATTCAATATTTGTTTTACAACTATTGAAATGGTTTGAATTTAACTAATAAATGGATTCGATTGATATGAATGTTAGTACAATGACAAGTAATTTTATCAATCGATCGTTTCACTTTCTAAACATTTAATAAGCATATACGTTGCTTTTTTATTAAAGCTAGGAAAAAAAAGAACGGAAGAAAGCGTCGTCAAAATGATTCATGATGAAGTGACGCACATTTCTTTCTTTTATCTATAGTGGTGCAAGATTAAATATGTCGCCTTACTCAACATAACTTTGTGTGTTTTTTTTCAATTATTGCGCTTTACTTCTAACGATTGCAATGCAGCGAAAACCGCTTCATATTCTTGCTCTCGGTGATTCGCTTACAGCTGGTTATCACAACTATGGTGCATCTCATCATCCATATGCCACACATTTAACAAAGTTATTCGAATCAACCAATACTCCTGTTGAGATAAATGAGCAAGGGGTGGATGGTGAACGAGTTGTACCAGCAATGGCTAAGAGACTTGGTCGTCTGTTAGAAAAAGATGCATTTTACGACTGGGTTATTATATTAGGTGGTACTAATGATTTAGGCAATGATATATCCGCTGAAAAAATCTTCAAAGAAGGTTTAAAGCCAATGTATAAGATGTGTCTTAATCATAAACAATCAAAAATTAAATTGGTCGCAATGACTGTTATTGAAAACACGTTTAACTCACCGACATGTGAACGAGATCAAAATAGACAAGCATTGAATACAATGATTCGCGATTATGTGGCTAAGACGAACGATCATAATAGAGTTTTTCTCGTCGATCTTGACAAAGGTATACCCTATCATAGTGTAAACGATATCCAAGAGCGACGACAGATTTGGAATGATGCTCTTCATTTAACACCTGCTGGATATGATCGTATGGCAACATTAATATTTGATGAAATTAAAGATAAACTATAATTATTATGTCTGAAATGTGTAACAAATTGGAAAAGTTTTTCATTTGACGAAAAAGTTAATAAATTATAAACAGCTTGTGTACAAACGACATTGAATCATGAAATCGAAACTTGATAACCTTCCTATCAAGATACTTTCGATTTAAACAAGAAAAAAAGGTTATTTTATTCGGCGACTATATGAATACTGATTTTTGACACGCTGATTTCAAAAACAAAATGCTGCGCTATGAAAAAATGATCAACGAAGTACCTATGTAATTTCGATGAAGGGTGTGGGTGTGGGCGTGTGGGGGTGCGGGCGTGGGTGTGAGTGTGTATGTTGTTCTTTTCTTGGCCCGCACCCACACCCACACCCTAAATTGGTTAGCGCATAACCACTAAATAAGAGAAAGAGAATAACCAATACAGATGTCGTATGACAATAGTGTATGTTAATATTTTAATAAATATGCATCACTTGTGGACACTATTTAAGTAAGTCCAACCGTTTAAGGGAAAATATGGAAATCATCATGGAGGCACGTTTTTCTCCAATGAAAATGTCTTGCATATTAAGATGTTCATCCGAAAAATATCATACTTTATTTGACATGAGTTATATTCGAGTAAGACCAATAGGCATCGGTGTATCAGTGTTCCATGGGACACTGATGTCAGTGTACACCGTGTCACTGACCTCATCAGTGCTTCAGTGAACGCTGATGAGATGACCATCAGTGTCACAGTGAACATCGTTGTCAGTGATCACTGAAACTGTACATCCCTAAACAGGTGTTCAAGAAAATTCTATAGTTGCTGACAATCCTCAAATTACTAATGCACTGTATCCATCTCTATCAAGCTCTGATCCATACTGGAATGAAATTGACAAGAAAATTCATGATGAAAATGTTCAGGTATTGTCACAAATACTTAAAGATATATTCGACAAATTGGAAACAGAAACACATGTTACTCATACAGATATTGTAATTGATAAAAATAATGGCTTATCTTCATTAAATAATTCAATGTCTGATATTCGTATTCCTATTGTAATTCAAATCGAAGGTATGAATCGTAATGATGGTATTAAAGTATTAGAAAATTCAATCGATGATAGTATTAATCCTATTACAATTCAAAACAATAATGTTAATCATAATGATGGTATTGAAGTATTTGAAAATTTAATCGATGATATTGTTTATCCTATTGTCGTTCAAAACGACAATATCAATGACTCTGGCAAGCAATGCTCGTCGACTCAAAGAAAATTTTCATCAACATGTACACAAATTAATCGTCCATCCTGCACTAAAGTGTTTCTACCAGGTATTAATTTCATCACGGATTCTGAATTACCATTTTGTTGATCAACAGCGAATTTCGTTGCAAGACAATGTTTGGTTGCCAAGTAGTGTTGCTGGTAATTCAAAGCCCAGTAAAATATGGTTCACAGAAGAAAGATCACAATGGCTTCGTGCTGTTTATTCAGAAAAAAAATATGGACTCTTATGCATTATTTGTGCTCAAGCAGCTAAGTGCAAATCAAGACTTATGAAAAGTAAAGGCAGTTTTATATCTCACCCTTATTGGACACTGCTACATCAAGGTTTAGAAGGTATGATCGATTTTTGAACTCTGTTTCAGCGTAGTTTCCTGTAACATGAGTTTTGACATATTTCTATAGCTGTGGACTATGATAAAAAAAAACGCATTTTTGCCAAAGTGGAATTTCAAACAACATTTTGAATAAGACATGCTTTTGAAAAACGGTATTTTCTGGGTAACGCTACCAGTCTGACTACATTCGAAGTTAGACCTCTTTTCTTGCATAATTACTTGTGCCACTTGAGTGTGCAGCTAATTTATTGAATTGAAATATAACGTAGTGAAATAAATAGTTTTCTGTAAACTGCTCGGATGTACAAAGAAACCATCTTTCCGTTATTGGTTAATTTTTAGAAATCAGACAACATGAAGAATCTGAACTTCATAAGCAATGCATTACGAGATACGTATCAAAATTAGAGACGGAATGTCGTGGTACAGTCATAGAACAGTTACATGGGTGTGGGTGTGGGCGTAGATGGCAAGAGGACACACCCACACTCTTCTTTGAGAATGACAACCCTTAATGATTTAAATACTAAACAACTGCAAGACTTTATTAGTTGTGCTATATGGTTGGATTATTATCAAGAGCCACTTGTTCTTCCTTGTTCTCACACGTTTTGTTTTAAAAGCATTCAGCAATTGGTTAAAGATGGCAGACTTATTTGTTCCCTACGAAACAATATTATAGTGAAGGAAGATAATATTGACAAACTACCAACAAATCGAACAGCTAAAGGCATTGTAGATTTTGTACTAAATATCAACCCATTTAATGGTAAAGTCTTGTCAATCATGCAATAATTGTAGTGAAAATACTGTAGTAAACTGGTGTGACACATGTGCTTTTCGTTACTGTAAATTTTGTACACAATCAATACATTCAATAAAGGCATTGCAATCTCACAATATTATTCCATTGATAGAAAGGTGCATTCTTTTTGTTCAGAGTACCCAGACGAAAAGTTCAAATATTGGTGTAGCAAATGTGAAGTTCTTGTTTGCCGTGATGGTTTATTATTCAAACATAGAGATCACACATTTATGCCCTTGAAAGATGCAGCAACAGAAGAAAAACAAAATTTCAAGCAGTTGTTCAAGAAATTGACGGAATGAAAAAAATTTAAAAGTTTTAGATGAAACCAAAAGCGTTACTGGTCAACAAATCCAAATAGTACAAGAACAGAAACTAGATATAGAACAAACGCTTAGTACACTTCAGCGTATATTAGAAGAACGAAAAAGAACGATTACATAACAGTTAGATAACAATGAACTACAAATGACGAGCCTACTAACTCAGCAACTAAGTGATAGAGATCAACATCTGAATTTCATCATCGCCCAAGAACTATGCGTAAAAAGAATGCTGGATGCCAATAGAGATGCACCAATTCCAATTCTTGGCTTGGAATTGGTAGAATTGGTAGGAATTGGAATTGGAATTGGTTGGAATTGGATAGAATTGGTCTAGAGTCAGCAAGATATTGTCTGGAATTGGCTATAATTAGGCTGAAATTGCGTGAAATTGGCCAGAATTCGGTTGAATTACCTAGAATTCGTATAGAATCCTAGGAATTGGTCTTAAAATGGCCCGAATTCGGTTGAATCGCCTATAATTCCTAGGATTCCAGAAGAATTGTAGGCAGTTTAAGAAAATCTGAGCCAGCATCAGACCAATTCCATACCAATTCCTAGGTTGCCAGACGAATTTTAGGTAACTCGAGCCATATTCCTACCAATTCCAACAAATTCCAACCAATTCTAAGAATTGCATTGATTGGAAGTGGAATTCGTGCATCCCTAGATGCCAATGCCCTAATGCAAATATTAAAACTTAAATCCACTTTATCTCAGAACGATAATGACTTTGTTGTACAGTACAAAAAGAATTGGCGAAGATTATACAATAATGAGACAGATGTTCGAGAGAAATGCAGCACAATTAAAACAAATTTCCGAAATGATTTCAAATTTTGGTAGTATCAGTAGTGAACAATATGTAATAAAATGATATGGCAGTATAACTAATTTACTGAATATCTGAAAACCAGACGGTAATACTGCGTTTACTGAAAAACACATAAATTATGCCCGTGGTTACCAATTCGCGTTGAAACAGCCGCTGCAATTACATTCGATTCAAATACAATTCGATTATGGTGGACAACACATAGGTTTTGTGGCCAATGCTGGTGGTGCTATTAAACAGAGTGAGACAGTCAATTCTGATGATTCCAGAATGAAATGATTAACTATTCCACTGTAATGTAATACAAACAAAAATGAGAGTGTGTTTGTTTGGACTCCATCCGGCAAAGGATCGCATGCATATAAAAGCGGCAATTCTTACTATCGTACAGTCAATGAGAACTGTTCTGTTCTAAGCAAGTCTGTTCATCCAGCAGTACAAACGAATGTAGGTTCGACGGTGAACGGAAGGGATAATACTTATTCGATTGACATGATATTAGTTATTGACTAATACTGATGGTAGCAAAAACTTGTCAGTACACTTCCTTTCGAGATTGATCTGCGGAAGTCACACCTGCTTGCTTTACACCTACTAAGGCAGTACAAAATACATACAGTAAGGTGTGGATGTGGGTGGACTGGGGTGTGTTGTATAGTGGGTGTGGACGTGAATGTGGGTGTGGTTATGATTCTCTCATGCTCAACACTGACAGCGACACCCAACTATGAAAAAAAATAAAAGAGCCTTTTCAAAGAATTTTTGGATGGAGTATGCCGACTTTACGCTTGTAACTTGTGGTTTTTCTCGTGATTATTGGAAAAAAACTGGACGGATTAACTCAGATAATAGGAATAATTACATAAAAAATTTAAGTGAGGATGATCGGTTCTTTTGTGTCTGAGAACTTCAGTCATGCTGGTTGACTCTTGGCCGTCTCGTCTGAATGGTAGGCTTCACAGGTGCATTTTTTCTCTTGTTTTTCTTTTTCTTTGTTGATAGTTTTGCATCTTCAGTATATATCTCTAACAAGACAGGATATACTAACCAAGTAAAACTAAATAATCCATTGAATCGTGTAAATTGTTTTGTCCGTTGATTATCCATCGATTTGTTTCGTTTTTTGTTTTTCCTCGTTCGATATGTTTCTATACGTTTGATCCATGGCTCATAAGTGGTTTGAAACCATGCTGATGCCTTTTGCTTGACTGCGTCCGATAGGGTCATTTGGTTATAATATTCATATATTTCAACTTGATTTTTCCAAGATAGTTTTTTCGATATCTCAGACCATGAAATGTTTTCCTCGTCTGATTCATCTGTTACTTGATAGAATTCTTTCCAGAAGAGAGTCAAGAATCTGAGGAGAAAGAAAATAAAAAATAAAAAAAAAAAGACTTCGTCCATATTCTTACTTATCTCGTATGACTTTATATGCATGTCTAATTTCATTTTTTTAAATCGAAAATTTTGGTTTCTTTTGCATATTGTTTTGAAGTAAATTTAAGAAGACAACCTGATACAATTTCAGCTTCATTTTGAATACCATATTGCCGCATGATTCTTAATATGTCTCGGTCATATTCACCTTTTATAACTCGAGCATCTTTTATATGGTTTTTGTAACCAGCAATAAGAAACGATTTATAGGGAAATGATGATGTTGCTCTGATTTCTTCTTCTTCATTAATATGTATGTCGCTATTATAGGATGGAGTTTTATCATAGAGTTGACCGAGAATAGATTTTGAATGATACGTTGGCTTGTCGTTTTTTTCCATAAAAGGTGGATACTGTGGAGGACGAAGCTCTTTTGTAAGATGTGGGGCATTGATTTCTTTTTTGGCAAAATCTACAGCCACGCTATATACAAAAAATAGAAACGTGGCTTGAACTTTTCTAACAAAGATTACTATATTCATAACATCAGAATTGCGATCAAAGATCAAATCCATCAGTAGACCGACAGCGTAGGTGATGGTAGAAATAGGTACAAATTTTAACTGTGTTTCGGATACAGCTCATTGGGTAGTAAAACATCCTTAGACAACTCATATATGTTTTTTTTCTTTTGAATTATCCTAGCTTCAAATAAATCGAATTTAGTGAGGGATAGAACATATTTTCAACTTTCAACATGGATGAAGATTCATTAATACATGGATTATATTTGATTAATAGAAATATCGTTAGATAAGGGTAAACATTATTGGGCGAATTATTTTAGTTCTGAAAAATAATTTTATATAATAACTATAGATATCAGTACAATAGCTATAGGTGACTTTCAATAACTAACACATGAATGAGCGTATTTAATATCTATAATGTGAAGTTTCACATTTGCTTTTTGATGAACATTGTATTCGAAATATTGTGAAGTTGATAAGTTTGAAAATTCGGATTTTCCGAAAATTTCGATTTAATGACTAATCGCATGCGAACATAATCTTACTGATGAACTACTAGAATTTGAAAAATAAAAATACTTTGATGCCATACATATAAATGTTTCTAGAGTTAGTTTTTAATTATTTTTCAAGTGTATAGTGAGTTGTTTCTGACAATCTAAAAACTTAGCTCTGGATAGTTTTATTGAGAGAAAGCTCCTATCCATAATGGCGTATCAAGAACATCAAGCTTTTTATTTTAAATTTCCTCATGTCAAAATACTGTAGACCTTAATAGAATCACTGAATAGTCGGTAGTATGTAATGTAGCTGGTTCTTTTGGACAGAAAGACTCAACCGAAAACTTATGCGATTCTTTTTATTAAATATGCTCTGATTTCTAGAAGTTCGAATATACGTATTAGTCGTGAAATGATGGTATGGCAATATTAAAATTGTCTTATAAGTGAATGAAAATTTCTCAGTAAATTCTAAATGACATGCTTTTTTTTTGAGATTCCCTAAGAAGGACTGTAAAGTCACGTTTATGCTCAACAAAGAGTTTTGACCAGTGGATTTTAAGAGGGCACCGCTATATTTTCGAATTTATTGAAACATTTTCTATTGATATATTTTTCTTATGATCATAATCTAGTGTGAGATTGTATTGATTGAAATTAGAAATTGATATTCTAATTTCATAAAAAAAAACAATAAACTCAAATATTCGTGTATTGCCTTTCAAAACGAAACAACATTTCTCCAATAATATAAGACTTTTTAAATCCAAATCTAACGGAAAAAATGATAATGTATTTTTGTAGTGATAACGGAAATATATACATCTTCCTCACCTTATTCATAAACAAGCAAAATATCAAAGATTATTTGTGCTTTGACTTAACTATAATAGCATGAACATAGTGATTATAGATTCATCTTAACGTACCTATGCATTTTAGCTAATTGAAGGCATTTTTTGTTTCGGACACCGTCTTCTAATTGATCTGAAAGCGCTAAATGACTATTGGCAATGAGACCGAGACTAGAACAAATACCATTGATTAATGTAAGATGAAAATTCTTTAGCTTACTTGTCAACTGCAATATATTCACCAAAAAAATTACAAACATCTTCAATCGTATGTTGGACATCATTCATTGTTTGCATTTTATTAGCTTCGTAATCTTGATCTTGATAATCAAATGGATCTTCGTTTTCTTTGAATATTAAATCTGGATGACGGCTTATCCAGAATGTATCACCATCAAGGTCACCGCCAGACATTTCTGCAGGATGAGGACGAGATCCATTCATAGGAAAAACAATAACGTTCTTTAAACTGTGCAAAGCAGGTACATCGACTGCTGTCAGTTTTCGAATATCACCTTTCCATTAAAAAAAAGGAATACAGTAAAAGTCACTCTACAAAATTAACTCAATTATTATTCGTTTAATTACATACCTGGATGAAAACATGGATTTCTTGTTACTACTACGGGACCTCGAAAAATTTCTCCTGTTGACTCATCTCTTTGTTCATTACTAGAATCAATTTGAATAAAAACTTCACCATAGTTGAGTGTTCGGCTTTCATCTACCACTCCCAATAAAGACCACGAATTCGGTACAAAAATCTTTGCTTTTCTTCGTAAGTCTTTAATAAGAGAAGTTCGAATAACACGAGTAAGCTGTCGAACAAATGGATCTCGTTGTTCACGTAAATGTTTTAAATAGGCAATTAAAAATCCATGATACCCATTTTTATCAAAGTTATTCAGTTTTTTTAATGTTTCGCATGCCTCAAGAAAGTTACCTTCTAATGCTTGTAACATTTTTAGCATATCGTCTTGTAATGAAAGAAAAATTTGATCGCCAATGCCAAGAGATGACAAAAGTAAAATTATTTGTCTATTCAGGTACACAACTGTTGGATGCAATGACGTACGTATAACATCAATAGAGAGAGTTTTTGCAGCGAATTTATTCATAGATTCTCGAAAGTAAACATCTATATTTGGATTGTTAATCTGACCAGCAATATCCAAGCAAACCATACCTACAATAAATTTTCGATCGTTTACTTTTCTATCCTTCAAAGTAATATTGCAATAGTTTTATCAAGACAGAATATTACCTTTATAGCCACCGCAACGAATTTGAAATGCACATGGACAAACTGCTTCAGGTAATTTCATGGTTCTAGCTAGTCTTTTGGCGAATGGAAGAGAAATAATGCCAATACCATCTGTGAAACAATATTCATGAATACCATTTATTTCTGTTGTGCATCTTTTCTCATCTGATATTTCCTTTATTTGATGACTTTCCAATTGAATACCTTTACTGCTGGCTGAAAATAATTGTCCTAACTAGAAAGATAATAGATTCTCAAAATCTCGAAATAAATATTTTATTAAATGTACACGAGCAGCTAACTTGGCTACAGGATGAACATTCCGAAAGTCACCCATCCATTCGCGAATAGTATCAACTGTGGTACGATCGTCTGGTGAAGCAAACATCCAGCAAGAATGTTCACGTAATTGCGAACTTGAAAAAGCTAAAAATTGATAGTTTCGATCACACACATTAATTCCGTTTTTCAAGATTTTTTTAATGCGTTCGTACATCTTCGCCATATTATCATTGTAATTATGTAATACACAATAGTCTATATTGAAAATCGATGCTATGTGAAAATTTAAAGCGGCATCTTAAAATCAATCGTCTCACCTTCATCACGAAAAGTCACGCGAAGAAATCGATCTTGATACTGAACATACTCACGCGTAACAGCACACTTTTCTTCATCATAAGGACCTTCATAAAGAATGGTTGATGGTGTTATATATATCTTACGCGTCAAAAAAAGGTCATTCTTCGCTGTACGTAATTCAAGTCTAGTTAAAACAATGCCGTTTGCTGTTCTACAAAGTTCATAGTTTTTGAGTAATTTTTCAAAGGCTAAATTAAACAGACGACTCAATCTTCCACTAGAATACTTTTCCAATCCTAACGATTTTATGGTTGTCATCTTGGGTGCTATTTCAGCATTTTCAGCATTGATGAAACCTCCAGTAGCGGCAAATCGAATGTTTTTAGAAATGAAAGAATCGTCATCAATGATTGGAAAATCGTCCGTAATGATTGGCAATTGATTTTCTTCAGATTCATTTTGATTATTCCAATCTTCATCTTCCCTATCACAAGTTTTAGCACACCATAGCAGAGCAAACTCGAAAATCTTATCTGCAAAAATCATGAACATCATTAGCACAATAAAATCAAATAATATATTTTTTTCTATTTACCAGTAAGAGCAACTAATGTATTAATTGAACATAACTGTAGAATATGTTCAGCTTGTTCATCAACAATTAAATCATGAACTGTGACGATATGTTTCGAGATAAGTTTCATGATTTCGAATTTCGTTTCAAAAGGATACAGTGACCATCGATGATTAAAGAAATTATCTACTTTAGCTTGATTTTCTCTTATCCACTTGTCATTTGATATTAACTTGATAGGTTCAAGATTCTTCTTGACAGACTCAATATTTGTAAGGGAACAAATGATGTCAGATTCAGATAAATTTCCTGACGATAAATTGTCATCACGTAGTAGCTGGAATAGCTTTCTAGTATTATTATCACCATCATTTGAAGCTAGTTTAAAGAGCCACACATTAGCATGACCAATAAACCCAAAGCCAGGCAGACGCTTTTCCTCAGGACTTTCAGAGATTGAAGAACCAGCATCTTTTATTTCCAATATTATTGGAGGTCGATTAATTTCCATCAGTAAAAAGACTTCATTTTCATTGATTAAAACTGAAGTTATCTTTCTACGTTTCAAACTAAATTGCAAAAAGATTTCTTCTTTTCAAACAAATCAAGATATCGAAAACTCAAAAAACTAATTTACATTTCAATAAAATTATGCTAGCAAAGTTAAAGATCAATATTCTAAATATTTAATTAAAACAAAACAGAACTTACTCATGAAAACTCCATTCAAACTTGAGTGTAGTACAGTTAATAGAATCAGGTCCCCCTTTAACTCCAGTGCACTGGTTATTGCTATGCTTTTCTTATCTTTATTGACTTTCAGATGAAAATCTTTGCATTGATTGATTTAGAGAGTATGTGCGATGATACCAAATCGGTCAGTATTTGAAGTCGTGTTCTCGACTGTCTGAATATTTTTCAGAGATGTTCCTGCTATTAATGTACCATAGTGAATGTCGGTTATTTTTAAAGTCACATTTGATTTTGAACTATCCGCCTTTGATATCTCCAGTGGAGTATTCGTATGTTTTTGAGCGAATGAAATACAACGCTTTAAATATAATTGACGGTCATTAAAAATGAAGGATGCTATTTTGTTTTCACTGTGATACAGAACTTCAGCGGGTGTGGGTGTGGGGGTGGGGGTGTGGGGTGTGGGTGTGGGGTATGGGTGTGGGTGTGGGTGTGGGTGTGGGTATGGGTGTGAGTGTGGGTGTGGGTATGGGTGTGAGTGTGGGTGTGGGTATGGGTGAATAAAGAAAAACTAAAAGAGAGACTCACAACCACACCCACACCCAATTCTAATTTTTACTTGCATTGTCATAGAATTGTAATTTGTTTTTCAAATATTCAATACCCTTCGACGAAATCGATGGTCCGCCGTGTTTTGGTAAATTACACAGATCCGCGTTATTTTTATTTTTGCCATTCGATCTTTGCGCTATTACATTCCGATAGTTCGCACATTCACTATTTTTTTTTTGTTTTCTAGCATAAGCTCGGTCTTCTTCAACAAAACCATATATATATTGCACATAGAAAAGTAATACAATAAGGGTATTAGGCTTCAGCATTTTGGTTTGCACGATAAGTAATTAATATTGCGAGCGATTTTCTCGGTTTTGTGAAAGAAAGGAAAATCCTATATATAGGAAAGAAAGAGAGTCACGAACGGGTGTGGGTTTGTTCTCTCCATTCATACCCACATCCATATCCTCAGAGGGAAAGATTTCGATCGAAGCAATAAAGGCTTAAAGACTGATGTGTAATCAGACACTTCATTGGGGTTGTCGAACTATGATCTATATTAAGACTAAGCTGGCTGAACGAAGAAAATGCAATAAGTTGCCAAAAAATCTGTCGAGCCACGCATCAATAAAAATGAAAAAGCTACGAAGAAAGAGTCAGTTACTACTGTGTGAAAGAAAAACTGGCACTGTCATACGAAAAATAGATGATTGAATGGATGGTGCACTCAAATGGGTAGGAAATTTAAAATAAATAATATAGAGATAAGCAATATATAAAAGGAAAAAATGTAAATATCAACATGTAAATAAACGATACAGTCATTAAAATAAACTTTTACGAACTTGAAATATTTTCTGAAACTGACGATGTAACAATATCAGAATTATTCAGAACCAGAGTACTCTATATACAGAACTATTCTAAAGAGATGGTGGCTCAAGACACCTCAAAGAACACTGTCAACTCAGATAGAACAAATTATACTTATAAAAACGGGCTTCTTCTGTTTCAATGTCTCCATCATAAAATTTATATTTGCATTCACTCGTATGATACGAGTGTTACTTTCAGTGTGTTGCGAAATGCTCTTATGACTCATCGCAAAAAAGTAAGCAAGTGACGTGAATGGTTGATGATATTGAGTAATACACAATGATAGAGGAGAAAGAATGAAATTAAATATTATTACCTTTGGTGCATAACTTATTTATTTATCTACTCTAGACAAAATCATCGCATCCAAAGAGAAACACAAAGATTTGTACACTATCGCTTTAAATATATATCGCTTTCGTAACATTCTAACTAATGTGATAAATACACTCTTTTTATGTCAACGGATTTTATTCAGCCACCATGATTTGTTCATTTGTGAGATAATTAGGGTGTGTGTGAAGATTTCTGGTCCAATAGATATTGTTTACGAGTTGTTAAACTTGTAGTTTATTGAAATATCAAGAATCGTCCCTATACTGTATTTCTCTTGATCCTTATATACTATTTCCTAGCACCGAATGATCTTGAAAAATACCGTACAAACAATAACAGAAAAATACGAAATGCAAGCAGGTTTATTGTACTAGAGAATGGCATATCAATAGTGCCATTCTAAAGTCCATAATGACAAATCAGAGATAAGCACAACGAATGTATAAAGTGCATCCTGTTGCTAATTCTCCGCGCGACCTAAGGACAAAAATCAATAGTGCAAAGTACAGAATGGAAGAAGAAAGAGATAGGAGTATAATTGAATAATAATATAAAGACAAGGACATTACGGGCATGTCACTGGGAGGTTAGCAACAGATGGATTGTTACAGTGTGAGTGACTGTTGGGCATGGTTTTGCGTTGTATGTTTGGATGTGGATATTTGTTAAGAATTCTCTCACACCCACACCCCGACGCTTTTCGTCCAGTTCAAATCACATGGATATTACATAAACGCCTTTAACACGTGTATAAATTTCTTTTCAGAAAAATTGAGAATGTATACCGATAATAACAGAGAGTTGAAAAGTGAAAAGATGTAAAAAATCTTTTGAAAACATTGATATTATTTATATTAAGATATTCATTTATATATTTGAAACATATAAAACTCGGATTGTAGCATCATTGTAATTCAAAAAAAAGCTCATAGTTTATGATTTATTTATAAAGAAAATAACATTAATTCTTCGTGACGACAAAAATGAAAGTTGGTTTTACAGAAAATCGAGTGAAATAAATTGATTTGTTTTATACTCAAAGATCATATAAATAATATTCTCTTGTCGTAGCAGATTAAATTATGCTCATTTAACAGTACATGTCTGATAAATTATAAGAGTTTATCATGGAAGATTTCATTATAATCTTGTTCCTAGTTTTTCGCTTTCCAATATGTGTTCAAATTAGCAAAATGATGATTTTGTGGCCATGAATGTTAAAATAGTGGTAACGATAAGAAACTCATGTAATCTTCCAATTTGTTATTTTTTGAATGGATGTATTATTCGATTTCGAAGTTTGATAGATTTTAACATGTGAACAAGTTGTTTACGATAAGCACTTCCAGAAAAAATATAAAGAAAAAATGAAACAAAATAATCACATTGTTGCCATATGACTAATATATTTCGAACGGTCATAATATTAGATGTTATTGTTGATGGATCAAACGCATTCATACTGTAAATAATACCGAATGGAAGGGTAAGAACAAGATGAATACTCATTTGTAGAAGCAACATTCGAGTTAATTGTCTTTCAGTTCGACGCCAGCGTCCAAAATTTAACTGTGGTCCTATGCGAGTCAGAAGACGTCGAGTATTAGATATAGTCAACAGACCGAATATAATCATTAATAGAGGTGCTGAAATATAATAAAGAAGAATTTGACTGAAAATATAAATATTGATCAGTAGATTTGAGTCTTGTAGACATGTGCCCGATGATTCTTTCCGGTGGTATATGGCTAACAATGGTGACATGTACGTAATACATAATATTGTAGCAATAATAATAAGTAATCTTGCTTTTCGTACTGTACTGCTCGAGTTAAGTCGCTGTGGTTGGAAACTTGCACAGTAACGATCAAATGAAGCTAGTACAAGCATCATTCTTGCTAAAAGTGATGGTAAGAATACAAAATACAAGTGCAGTCTACAACCGATTGGTGTATTTACCAAATAGATATTAAAACCACGTAAAAATTGTAATGGGCATATAAGGCAAGTATAGATAATACTAAATATAGCATACGCCATAAAGTAGTGTGTACAGGGTGATGAGCGAAGAGTACAAGAACATAATAAACATATATTAAGTGTATTCGCAATAATGGAAAGTAAAAACTGTAATGGTTGAAGATACATATTCACTTGAAGTACTTGATTGAGTAATTGACTCATGACGATTGGAAATTCTTGAAAATAAATTTGACAATTTGTAATACCTATTTTTTTCTGTCTGAGATCAGTTTATGACTACAAAATTAATGTTTTTTTTCTTTAGTCTGTAGGTTATTCTAGAAGAAAAAGGCTTCGTTACTCGTTTCAAACTAATAACATTTATAAATGGGTTCTTGTCATGAGTGACACAACATATACGATGCTTGAGTTGCTCCCTGTGATAGTCATGCGCACTAATAACCCTAGTTATCTATATAAAAGAAAAGAAATTGGTTTTCGCATGATGAATGATATAGAAGTACAAGGAGCAATTAAAACATAAAAATAAAAGAATACTCTCTTTTTGCAATAAAAAAAAGTTCTCAGACAGACATGAAATGAATGTTTTTCTTTTCTTTTTGATGATATAGCCATAGTATTATTATCATCACAAAGCTAATTGATATAATTTATTTTTGTTTTCTGAAAGAACCCGGTGACTCTAACGATGACATCGAAAGGACCATGGGAATAAAAAATATCTAGATTTTAACGTTTATCGACTGTTATACTTCACTTTATGTACGTTATCCTCTTCGCTATATTCATGTGTTCACGAGTTGACTTTGTGACCAACTCTCATTGTGCTATTGCATGACCGTTTCCTCTTTTTTTCTTTTCACTCATGTGTGATGACTTTCTCTCTTATTTACGAAGATGTATTAAATGAAGAGATCCAGACAGGAATTGCAACGAAAAAATACCATTAAAATGGCAGAAAAAATAATAAAAATAATGGTGAAAAATTGCCAAAAAAAAAGTTTTGCGTAAGGCGTTAAATGTCATTTTTAAAACCATTCTCGTTCATTTCAAAGGAATCATTTTAATGCCTTAGACATAATCCATTTTGTGACAGTTTTTCATCATTATTTTTATTACTTTTCAGGCCACTTTAATGATATTTTTCCATTGCAATCTCTGCCTAGGTTTTTATTTTATCTTCTTTCATTTCATTTAATTCCTTGCCGCATGTCTCATTCGGTATATTCTCTGGATATCTTTGATACTACCTCAAATGTTTTAAAAGACTAACGAATGTTGTATAGCATGACACCTGCTATTTTCAACACATTCTTTCTCTTTTCGTTAGTCATCGTGTTGATGTTTAAGTGAAAACTTTATTCAATCATCTAAAGAACAAAGTATTTTATTCATTCACTAGAATCATTTCGATTGTTTCGTAACAATTAGATGAAATTAAGTGCACAATATAAAATATTACGTCTTTGATCATTTGTATAACGTGTTTCCAATTGTCTAATTCCATCATGTGCTTGCTGATCAAAAGAATGTTTTAACTGATACCTTGAATCAAAGTTTTATAAGTGGAGCTTCTTGTAATCAACTACTTCAAACTATATATGCTTGATTTTGTTGGATGAGATAATAGTAGAATGACATACTCAAAACGCATTGTGAAAATGTCTAAGAAATATTTTAAATCATAAAGGATAGTAATTATATTCTGATCTAAGCAAACAATGTGTGGAGCTTTGTCAATTTAATTCAGACAACATTGTCAGTTAGCTCTTATATTCATATCTTACATATATGAAAATGTCAGTAATCGATCACAGCAGCTGCCTAAAAAAAGAAAACGTCTCAATAAATATTTCATTAGTGAACTTACGATAAAGCTGTTCACTAAGCATTCTAGTACTCTAACTCATCTTTTGGCTTCTCGTTTTTCTTCATACCAGAGACATTATACACATTTTATTCGATATATCCTCAATATAATCACTGGTTCACATACTTCTTCATTTATATCAACTACTAATGTAACTTGATTTCCTCATGTTGTAGCGAACTGCTATAATTTATAGTGACGTGTCAGTATGTGTTAGATGTTGCTCGTCAACATAAAATCTAGTTATAAGACTTTATGCTTAACGCTTTTCTGAATAAATTGAAAAAATGTAAAGTCTTTCTCATCTAAACCAGAGAGGCATAAGAGAAGAGATGGATTGCATTAATAAATTACACAAATAATTTATTCAAAAGAAACATTCTCAACTGTCTAAATTACTTAAAACCACAGGATCGCTTTTTATCAGTATCTTGTCGTATATAGTGTAAAATGTTCTCAGTTGTTTCGAAAGAGACGAGTAACATATTACACATAGATCATCTGTGTTTTAAATAAATCTAATTTACGTTCTTTTCTTCCTTTTTGGATCAGTATTCTCTCTTTAAAGACAGATTATCATTGACTAATCGAAGTAAACTAAACAAATAATTTAGATACAGAGAAAACATAACACTAAAAACAGCAAAGAAAAGAAAACCTAGTGTTTTAATGATTGCTCGGGTACACACAGATATATAAATAAATGGATATATGAAGACGACGATAAAAATACAATTTTCCCTAGATGAAAAATTTATTCTGAATGAAAACTATAATGATGAAAAAAATTAAAACATATCCAATCAATTATTCGATACGTTTAAATATAAGTTACATAAAAAAAAGCCCACAACATACGTTCATCTTACGTTTTCATATATGTTTGTAAAGATCTGTCTTACTCTACATTCCATTTGAGCATGGATATTGCTGAAAATATTAATAAATAAATAGAATGTGAATGACAGTCAAGAACAACAAAATAACTTTTCTATTTAAAAAAAGCCGCATAGCAGAAGAGAACACTATATCCTGGTTATCACTGATTTTATCAATTAACACTGTATGAAACTGCATTATACTATTCCGAAAAATAACATCATTTTGAAAAACTTAAGGAAAATGTCGAATATGTCCACAAGTTGCGATAGATATTTTCCAGTGTTTTCTTACTATCAGCAGTATTCATGTAAAATAATCGAAAATGTTTCGTTTAGATAGTGTCATCGAACAAAACGAGTGTTGTATAAATATTTATAAATTGTAAGATTTATGCGTCATGGATTGAATATGTTGTTTCATCATAAAAGTATTATCAAATAAAAATTAACTGTATCTATTCTAATTTTTCTGGTTATTTTTACTTAACAAATGTATATAATGCCAAAAATGATAATTTAAATAGAAAGCAATAACTTTTAGTTTTACACATTGTATTGTATTGTGTATAGGAGAATTACAATTTTATCTTTAAATTCTAAGTGTTTAACTTTATGGAAATTAGAAGTTGAATTTTGTTCACGTGGGTTCATAATATGATCGAAATAGTGATTTTATGCTAATATAAAGAACATCTGACTTCTTAATGATTTACACTAGAACTTCAATAGATTCATTGTATCGCGTTACTTTAGAATCGCTCTCGTTCTTTATGAGTTATAAGAAAACAGTACTAGACCACTTTTCTATGGTGTGTAGGTTATTTAGTGGACAAAAATGAAATCCACACTCTTTAAAAAGAGATGATGCTACTATTTTCAACTATAGGCATTCAATCTTCATCTAAAAACTTGAAAATACACTAAGTGTTATGAAGAGTACGGTTCTTCGCAATATGAGAATTATCAATTCATTGTTAAAAATCATGTAGAAGCTGTTTCTGACTACTCCTAAGTTTGACTTCAACGCTTTTGTGTAAAATATGATGGCTTGTAATCAAACACTAGTAAATCATATAAATTTTAGAAACTATAAACATATTTAAATTAGCTCAAAACTCTGGAAAAGTAGACATAGTGATCATAAAATGGTTAAAATAGTTCACAAATGAATCGATATGCATTTTAACGGTCATTACTCAATTATTCATTTGATTGGGAAGAGTCGATCTAGAGTGTCAATTTGAGACGACGAATAGAGCTTTGCTACTACCATTGAGACCGAGAACAAACAAAAACAAAGCCATTCGACGATCGACCTTACACTTTCGTTGAATACAAATAAGTCAAGCTGTGCGATAAAAATTGAAAGAAATTGATAGAAGGTTATCATTTGCACTGCGTTGAAACTGTCAGCAGTACTTTTTGTTTTCTATTGACAATGTTGCTTCACAAATCTTCATATCTTCTGTCCGCCTCTCCCCTTTTATTTCTGTCCTCATCGAATCTACACATGTGCTACTGATACGACGGCCACACATATATTCTCAGTCTTCTCTTTCTTTTACGGAGTTTCGCTACTTCAACGTTGATCGCCTTGCCTTGACATGCACCATATTTTTGTCAATTACTGATGATTACTTGGTTATACGATATCTTAAATTCTGAATACCCTCTTGATACACCAGTATTATACAAGACAAGAAGGTGGTCAAAAGACCACATACAGTGAAAAATAGATCAGATAAAAGTATAAAAATTCATAATGATTACGCTCATTTTGAATGAAGTAACTTTTCCGATGACTTTCAATGATTCATGGCCATCAGTCGCAGATTTTCAGCATGTTTCAAGAGTGATGGTGATCTGTTCAAGATTCATTCGATTGGAAGACCTTACTTTATTTAACGTTGTTTTCTTTACAATAAGCCGTATGTCATCGAATATAAAAGCTTTTCCTACTTGCCATTAAAGCGTGAGAAAAACAATATATCTATATCAGTGGCTTTTTTCATCGTTCAACGACACACTACGTCAAATATCTTAGGTCTTATATGTTGGTTTTAGACATGTACCGAGCTTGAACTTCTCGGGTTCAACCATTCAGAGAGTGGTAGCAGCAGTAATCAGTAATGAAAAGTACAGACACATCGTTAGTTTATGAATATTTTATAATTGAGAATCTTCATCTTATTACGTTCAATACGGATGATTTGCTTAATGAGAATATGACAGAACAAAACGCACTATCCTTTAAATTTTCCTTATATTCAAATAAAACAAATGTTTAACTTTTTTCTATATTGAGTTTATCTTTCTCACGAGGAGAAACAATGGGCTTCAAAAGATTTTCAAGGATAAAACCTTCATAAACTAACTATTTATTTGTACTATTCATTACTGATTACTATTACTACCACTATGTGAATGACTTGACCCGGGGTTCCTAGTCTGTGCCGAGGCTCGGCGCATGCCCAGTTGATGTGCATATCTCTCTCCTATTTTGTTTTTGCTGGTATATTTCAGATATCAAGATCAATGCGAGTGGCAGTTTGTGGGGCAGGTCCATCTGGGCTGAGTCAATTACATGCTTTTGAATGTGCTAGACGAGACGGTTATTCGATTCCGGATATTGTCTGTTTCGAAAAACAGACTGATTTCGGTGGACAATGGAATTATTATTGGCGAACTGGATTTGACGAATATTCTGAACCGGTTCATAGCAGCATGTACCACAATTTATGGACAAATCTACCGAAAGAATGTTCCGAATTCGTCGATTATTCATTTGATGAACATTTTGGTCAACCAATCACATCGTTTCCGCCCCGAACTCTCCTGTCGAATTATATTAAAGGCTATGCCGAACGAAACAATATTCGTCAATACATTCGATTTAGCACAGTTGTTCGCTGGATTTCATATTCTGACGCGAAGCAGAAATTTCATGTAGTTGTCAAAGACTTGCGCAAAAACGAAACACAATCAGAAGAATTTGATTACGTGATTGTTGCTACTGGTCATTTCTCTATGCCCAATGTTCCCTATTTCGATGGGATAGAAACTTTTTCAGGTCGCATATTACATTCGCACGATTTCCGTTTCGCTCAAGATTTTCTTGGTCAAGATGTTTTAATCATTGGCAATGGATATTCCGCCGAAGATATTGCTTTACAATTATATAAGTATGGTGCAAAGTCGGTAATAGTGTCATATCGAACGAAATCGAAAGGTTTCAAATGGCCTGATAGAATTAAAGAAGTACCATTACTCGTTCAAATCGATAAAGAAAGTGTACATTTCAGAGACGGTTCGTCTCACGCGGTCAATGCAATTATTTTTTGTACTGGATATGTTCATCATTTCCCATTTCTCGACGATAATCTTCGTCTCAAATCAACGAATAGTCTTTATCCACCTGATTTGTACAAGACTATTGTTTGGATACATCAACCTCGTCTACTCTATTTGGGTATGCAAGTTCTCACATTCAGTTTTAATATTGGCAATATTCAAGCTTGGTATGCACGTGATCTTATTCTTGGAAAAATAAATTTACTTATAACGAAAGAGGAAATGCTGAATGACATGACTCACTGGCAAATAAGAGCAAAAGCCGTACAGAATATTTCTGATTATTCCCAATTTACCAGAGATTATATTCAAGATTTGATTGACGCCACCGGCTACCCACTTTTCAATATTGATCAAATGGTGCGAATACTAATTGAATGTGCTCAATCAAGAATCGAGAATCTGCTTACCTATCGAGAAAAAACCTACGTTTCAACTGTGACTAATACTCCAGCGAAACAACATCACACACCGTGGCTCAGAGAAATGGACGATAGACTAGAAAATTTTCTCGAGAAATGAATTCACGTCAGTCGGAAAAAGCTTAAGACCTAAGATTTTGTTGAAATATGATAAAAATTAAATAGACGAATACCAATAGAATCTTGGAGTGTGGATGTAGATGGGCGTGCTTGTATTGATTAGAGTGTGGCTGTCAGAATGGGTTGCCGGTGTAGCGTAAAAGTGTGTGAGTGTGGACCAAGATAATCCATACTCTACATCCATTCAATGACGATGCAGTCAAAAGAATAAGTAGCTAGTAGTGGTATGAAAAAGATAGGTATACCATCAGCCAAAATAAAATCTTATTCTTCCAACATCTCAAAAGAAATCAAAATAGCTCAAAATCTATGCAACGAGAAAAAGCTTGACAACAAGTACAAAAGAATAATAGTGACAACGATCATGCTAAAGATGAGGATGATGAAGAGTCCTCTCATGAGGTCAGATGATAGTTGCAAAAGAACAAAAAAATAATGGGTAACCCATAAATAAAGGGCTCATTTTTGTAGTCACTCTTTTTTGACTTCATAAAATATTCTATTCCAAATTTAATGCATCACAGAATAGAGCAAAACGAGCTCTACATTTTGACATAAAAAGGTTATCTTGTAAATGTGTCTTTGTTTTCAGAAAAGACGAAACCTGAATGGGACATTTTTCAACACTACGAAATGGACCAGTTGGACTAGGTGTGAATCTTCTTCCACATTCAGAGCTATACTCTATACGATTTAAAATCTATGTCAGTCATGTATGGAACGGTGTGGATATGAGTGTTGTTGCAACATGTCTGTTCATCAACTCACTCCATTCTTTGATAGTTCAATCCAAAATATTTACAGAACGCAAGACCATGGAATAAACAATATATATATAGTTAATTATTTGTGATACAAATATTTTTAGAATTAATGAAAAATGATTTATTTTATTCTAATAATAATTTCAATAATGATGAAAAGTTCATCGAAAATTTTACGTAAACTAATTGAAAATAATAAAGAAATTTTGTCTAAAATCAGATTTATCAAACAAAATTTTAAAAAAAAAGTTTTGGAAATATTCATTTTCAATTTTAATGCATATTAGTTGTTTCAATGAAGAAAAACTTGACAATAATGTTTTTCAAGAAAGAATTAATTTAATCTGAAATGAAATTATTGATATTAACCAAAACAAAATATCCTAAAAACAAATAATTCAGCTCTGAATCATCTAACTTTTTGACTTCAACAAAAATAATGTTTTCATCTTTTAGAATTTAACAAAATTAGTTTAGTTTTGTTACTTTTAATTACATGAATAAATTATCTTTTTGTTATTTACAAAATGTAAAGCATTATTATTTAAAATAATTATTGGTGAAAAAAATATTTACTAATGGTTTTATTTCAATAAATGATAAAATATATGGAAAATTTTTTAAAGAAGGAATATGTCGAGCTAATCTAAATGTCTCATATGAATTCAAGAAGACAAAAGATAAAGTTTTGCTGAATTAAAATTATAACTCGACGAAGGATTTAGATATACTCATTGCGGAAATACTGTCATAATGCTTGCTCGATAGCGTGAAATATATTTTGAAATGATCATGGCGACAACGGACTGTGAACTTTCGTTAGGAACCTTCTGCAACGACTGGGATATGTAAAATTGTCTTAGTGACTAAAGATATGATATCTCAAGAGTGATTGAATTTTATCGATCGATTTTCATAGATATCTAGTTCAGTTTATCGACAACCATAGGTTTTCATCTGTGATGAACACGTCTAATTGAAAGTGTTGACTTCAAATTTGACAAAAGGTAAACGTATAAAATTTTATTGAATTAGATGTAAAATCTTAAATAGTAAAAGAAACTCCTATGAGCAACTAAGATATATACATACTCTACAATATAACTAAGAGAGAAATTTAAATTCGAAATTCAAAGTAATCTTTGTTAATATTTATCTTTTATAATTAATTAGCCTTAAGTGCCATGTGCCATTAGCAACATCATTCGACTGTAAACAGCTTGCTGTTACGCATTTACTAAAAACAAATTTTTTCTCATAATAATCATATTGAAAATTTTTTCTTCTACTTAGCGTAATGCAAAGCATCTGTTTTCTCTATCCTGGCTGTTAACGACATACCTTTAAGTTTATCCGATTGGGCCGAAAATTTTCACCGATGGGATTGGTGAACGATGAGCACGAGGAACGATGAGCACGGACATTTTAAGCACGCACACAATCGAAATTAAATAGCGTGTAGGTGGGTGCAGATATTGATCATCTCTTCAGTCACATCCACATTTGAGTGAGAAATAGCAGAGACTTTTCGTTGAAACCTTCTGAAGTCACGCTAAGTCTTTAGAAAGTTTCCAGTCTCTGCGTTTCAAATCTCGTAAAACCTTTTAAAATCTCATAAAGTCTTGAAGTTTATCATTTTCTCCACTCTACACCACCATAATAGCAGCCAGATACGTTCCAGCAGCTACAGGGATTTATTTTTTGGGGGATTTATTGGGATTTTTTAATAAATCTCCACACATTTTGAAATAAACCTCAAACAATTCTTCCTGAGGGTGAGGATGACACGAGGGGCAAGAGCGATGATGAGGATGCGCTGAAATACTGATACAACTAATATGTCCTCATAAATCCTCAGTAAATAAACAAATCATATGGAGAAAATAAATCCCAAAAAAAGAAACCCCGGTAGCCCCTCCCATTTTGAGAAAAAAATTGAAAAATTCTCTGACTCCGGCAGCAATTTCGAAAAACTCGTTTCCCGATTTAGCTTCCGAAAAATCTGCTTTTGTAACTCTGATTTCGAGTCCACAGGAGCAGGGTTTTGGAATCCCATTCAGTCCAGTAACTGCCAATCTACACCCACATACAAGGCTCGCCCACNCAAATGTTTATATTGGATACTGTTTTTCTTTCTTTCGTTTTCTTTTATTAGAAAAGAAAATGACTACATAGTTCATTTTACTATCTCGATTTAATATTATACGTACATAGAAGACGATTATATGAATCACATGTGTTGTGATGATGATAATAATAAAAGAAAAAGAAGATCAACTTAAATACATTAAGTAAAGTTCTATGCATATGTAGGATGAATTTTGAAGAAAATCATAGCTTTGAACAATGAGGTTCGATTTATATAAAAATAAAGAATATAGACAAGAAATCATGAGTTATTAATACCTAACAACTAAAAAGAGAATTTACAATGAATTCCTTCATTTGAATATTTATGAATCCAAAACATTTTTAATAGAATAAAAAATGGTGCTTTTTTTCACAAAATCCTGTTTTATTGTTTAGATCTTGATATATATGAATTTGATACATGGTACTGTACTATTTATCCAAATATATATTTTCATTAAGTTTCATTATGCCAAAATTTAATGTACGATGGTGTCGTGACGTCATCGACTTCCCTGATATGACTATATTTGTAACAAATAGTAAACAGCAGTTTCAGTGCAATAGCCAAATAAAAAATCTCATTCGAGGCTCTTCAAGTCCGGATAAGACAAGTAAAAACGAAAATGATCGATTTCTCATCTGTCGAGTACTCAACCAGATCAGAAAAACTAGAAAGCTATTGTGCGTGGTCCTATAGTGGAAAATCAGACATAACTGAATCTGAAGATATTCATAACGTAGACAGATGAGCTCCGACTTTCATGCTCTATTTATTACATACGAAATAATCGAACCTATTTAATCATCATGATTATTAAAAAAAATATGAATTTGATATATCTATAGTTCATCTATACAAATCTAAATTATAAAAATCCTTTGATTGATTAAAATTGGTTTTTCTATATTTTTTTATTACAAATATTTCATTGTAGTTTATTTATGAAATTTTATAAAGCAGGAGTGTCCCAAGCAAAGGCATGACTCTTCTAATCTTAAGAAACGTTCGTTTTCTTCAGGATTTTTGTTGTTTTTCCCACTCATGAATTTCGAAAAAAATCATTCAACCTCGCCCTAATCCTGGCGATTTCGGAACACTTCTGTAATCAATAAAAGAAGCCGAACATATTTTCCATATTAATAAAAGACACTTTTTATACAAAATCTAAATGCATAATATAAAAAAAAACAATTTACAATCAATAGAAAAAAAGAACACTATATAACATATTTTCGTTTAATATTGAATCTTGAATGATTCGAATTATTTTAAAATTTTTGTTTTTAAAAAATAATAATTTCATCATAAATTGTTCTTTTTAATCCACCATAAAATTTTATTATTAGTAGGCATATCAAATATTTGTTTAAGTTCAAAATGATGACCATTAGCAATAATTTTAAGTTCACCAATACCTTTTAAACCCCAACGTGAATCTTGCATTTGAAGATTAGCATGAAAACGTCGATTACTTTCAGGTGTAATTCGTCCATCATCTGGTAATCCATAAGGTCCATAAGTAATTAAACTACCTTCTGACTTTAAAACTCGTTCAGCTAATCGAAATAATCCTTGTGTACATTCAATTGGTGTAACATGAATAAGATTTGAACAATAAACAAAATCAAAAGATTGCTCAACAATTGTAGTCGGTGAAAGAACATCAATACATAAAGGTGATGCTACATTTTTTGTAAATGCATTTACTTCATATTCATCAATATAAGCTTGAATACTTTTTAAATATTTTGGATCATAATCCGATGGTTGAAATGTAGCAAGAGGAAAATAGGCAGCAAAATGAACAATATGTTGACCAGTACCTGAACCTATTTCAAGAATTGAAACTGGTATTGAAGAAGGTATTATATTATCAAGTAATATATCTAAAATTGGTTGTTTATTAGACTCAGCAGCTGATGTAACAAGTTTATCAGGAAATGGTTGTTGTTGAATTTGAACAATATCATCGTCAGTAGCCATTCCTTAAATTAAAAAAGTCTACGAACATTTTTCTTGAAAATATTATATGATTGTAACATCTATTGGTTTTACAATCCTATTATATTTGAATAATCATTT